TTGGGAGCTTTCTATAGACCCCCCCAGTAGCAACAGAGACACTGAGGAACAGATTGGGAGACAGATTTTGGAAAGGTGCAGAAGTAATAGGGTTGTTGTCATGGGTGACTTCACTTCCCTAACATAGACTGGAACCTCCTAAGTGCAAATAGTTTGGATGGAGCAGATTTTGTCAAGTGTGTCCAGGAAGGATTTCTGACTCAATATGTAGATAGGCCGACTAGAGTGGAGGCTATATTGGATTTGGTGCTTGGCAACAACCAGGTCAGGTGTCAGATCTCTCGGTCGGAGAGCATTTCGGTGATAGCGATCACAACTCCCTGACTTTTACTATAGTCATGGAGAGGGATAGGAGCAGGCAGTACGGGAAAGTATTTAATTGGGGGAGGGGGAATTACAATGCTATTAGGCAAGAACTACGGAGCACCAATTGGGATCAGATGTTCTCAGGGAAATGCACGACAGAAATGTGGAGATTGTTTAGGGAGCAGTTGCTACAGGTATTGGATAGGTTTGTCCCACTGAGGCGAGGAAAGGATGGTAAGGTGAAGGAACCTTGGATGACAAGATATGTTGAACACCTAGTCAAGGGGAAGAAGGAAACTTACTTAAGGTTGAGAAGCAAGGATCGGACAGGGCTCTAGAGGTCTACAAGGTAGCCAGGAAGGAACTGAAGAATAGACTTAGGAGAGCTAGAAGGGGGTATGAGAAAACCTTGGCGGGTAGGATCAAGGAAAACCCCAAGGCTTTCTATAGGCCAGATGATGGCCAGAGTGAGGGTAGGGCCCATCACGGATAGTGGAGGTAGGGGAGGTCCTTAATGAAAATTTTGCTTCAGTATTCACCAGTGAGAGGGACCTTGACATTTAGGAGGAAAGCATGAAACAGGCAGATATGCTCGAACAGGTTGTTGTTAGGAAGGAGGATGTGCTAGAAATTTTGAAAAACATGAGGATAGATAAGTCCCCTGGGCCAGACGGGATATACCGAAAGTTACTACGGGAAGCGAGGGAAGAGATGCTGCCCCTTTGGCAATGATGTGTGCGTCCTCACTGTCCACTGGAGTAGTGCCAGAAGATTGGAGGATGGCAAATGTCATTCCCTTGTTCAAGAAAGGGAATAGAGATAATCCTGGAAATTACAGACCGGTCAGTCTTACTTCTGTGGTGGGCAAATTATTGGAGAGGCTTCTGAGAGATAGTATTTATGATTATTTGGAAAAGCACAGTTTGATTAGAAATAGTCAGCATGGCTTTGTGAGGGACAGGTCTGCCTCACAAGCCTTATTAAATTATTTGAGAATGTGACAAAACACATTGAGGAAGGTAGAGCAGTGGATGTGGTGTATATGGATTTTTGCAAGGCATTCAGTAAGGTTCCACATGGTAGGCTCATTCAGAAAGTAAGGAGGCATGGGATTCAGGGAAAATTTGGCTGTCTGGATACAAAACTGGCTGTCCAATAGAATTCAGAGGGTGGTAGTAGATTGGAAGTATTCAGCCTGGAGCTCGGTGACCAGTGGTGTGCTGCAGGGATCTGTTCTGGGACCTCTGCACTTTGTGATCTTTAGAAATGACTTGGATGAGGAAGTGGAAGGGTAGGTTAGTAAGTTTGCCGATGACACAAAGGTTGGTGGAGTTGTGGACAGCATGGAGGGCTGTTGTAGGTTGTAACAGGACATTGACAGGATGCAGAGCTTGGCAAAGACATGGCAGATGGAATTCAACCCAGAAAAGTGTCAAGTGATTCATTTTGGAAGGTTGAATTTGAATGCAGAATACAGGGTTAATGGTAGGATTCTCAGCAGTGTGGAGGAACAGAGAGATCTTGGGGTCCACGTCCATAGATCCCTCAAAGTTGCCATCCAAGTTGATAGGGTTGTAAAGAAGGTGTATGGTGTGTTGGCTTTCATTGGCAGGGCAATTGAGTTTAAGGGCTGTGAGGTTATGCTGCAGCTCTATAAAACTCTGGTTAGAACACACTTGGAATATTGTGTTCAGTTCTGGCACCTCATAACAGGAAAGATGTGGAAGCTTTAGACAGGGTGCAGAGAAGATTTACCTGGATGCTGCCTGGACTGGAGGGCAGGTCTTATGAGGAAAGGTTGAGGGAGCCAGGGCTTTTTTCATTAGAGCAAGGAGGGATGAGAGGTGACTTGATAGAGGTTTACAAGATGATGAGAGGCATAGATAGAGTGGATAGTCAGAGACTTTTTCCCAGGGCAGAAATGACTATTACAAGGAGGCATAGTTTTAAGGTGATTGGAGGAAGGTATAGGGGAGATGTCAGAGGTAGGTTCTTCACACAGAGAGTGGTGGGTGCATGGAATGCACTGCCGGCAGTGGTAGTGGAGTCAGATGCTTAAGAGACTTTTAAACGACTCTTGGATAGGTACATGGAGGATAGTAAAATGTATGGTATGCAGGGTAGATTGATCGTAGTAGGATTATAGGTCAGCACAACATCGTGGGCCGAAGGGCCTGTATTGTGCTATACTGTTCTATATTCTATGTTTTATGAAAGCCCTCTTGATTTGAATTTTCTGCCTGTCTGCCATGTTGTACGCTGGCAAGAAAGCAGCTAAGTAACTTATATTCAGGTCTCCGAAACCCAATTTTAAGCTAGCAGCTACTAAATATGCTTTGGCAATTTTCAACTCGTCATTCTTTCCTACAGCAACTTTATTGAGTTATAGTCACCCAGTGACTTGAACATGCTGTATCTCTGCAGAAAGAGAAACACAATAATTTGGCTTCAAGACGTTGTTCAAGTGCTCTGCCCTCCTGTAAAATCGTTCTCAAAAAGTTTACTTTCTTTTACTTCAGAAGAGATGTACAGGGCCAAACGTTTCTCAAGAAAAAATACTTGAGCCTTTTGCACATCATTATAAATGTGCAAATTGGGCAGATACATGTAACAAGGAAGAGAAATCCCATGAATTACAAACCACTGCAAGTTGCGGAACAATTTGTGCTGCTCTGCTATTAGTTTTATGCAAGTGGTATCTTCCGTTTAATCTCTGAGTTTCACTGAATTTTCATCTCACTCGCACATTAAACTTACCAATGAAAGTTAAAATTGATAATTAATGATCTAGGTACCTGTTTGACAGCACAAAATTGAATCACTGCCAGTTAATCTGTTTGGTCCAGAGTGTGAAAAATCAGAAGTTTGTATTCTTATTCCTACATGTTGTAATTTTTTTCTTGGAAACATTTAAAAGTCTAATTTTGTTTAGAAAGTCTTATTTTTACTTTATTCCTTTTTTTCCTCCTTCTTTTAATGTGTACCTGATTTGACTTTTCTATTCAACTATTCAAATCACCCTCCTCCTCAGTCCTTCATCTGTTTATTTCTCAATCCTTAATTGTTAAGAAGGTGTAAACCATTGGTCTTATCATTTGCCGAGGTCCCAGATGCTTTATAGACCTCTGTACAGTAATCAATTTACACTTTAGAAAACTTGTAGAACAGAAGGTTTTTGGATGGATGAGTATAAGAATAAGCTAATAGGGCCACAGGGTGTGATGTCCTGACCTAGCAAATGCTGAGCCATTGGAATTTTCTGCGTTAAATTTTAAATTTAGTATAATTATCACACTTTATGGTGTTTGTGAAGGAATTGCAGTAGATGGTATAGTTGTGCTATGACAATTAATTTTCTTTCAAAATTGGCTCAAGTGCATCAACATCTGCTGCCAGAGAGTAGCGTTACTTCACTTATTTCAGGGGAAGTCCCAACAGAGAAGAAAAAATACACCATGCTTGTGCTTGATTTTTAAACAGGAAACAGCTTTGGCTTTTCATAATATATTGGAATCTTTCAGGAAATTCTTAATGAATAAATCCTACAGAAATCATCATCATTCTGCTTAAACATAGTATTTCACTTATTCAGAAGCTGTCCAAAGAATGGCTTAGCAATGCAACTATTTTTTAGCGCAGAATTCCTGTGATAAAATTAAACCATTTTGCTGTCTTTCAAGGTTATCCGAAGGCTACGTGAAAGAGGAGAACCTATTCGATTGTTTGCTGAAACAGACTATGAGGCCTTTCAACGTCTTCGAAAAATAGAAATCTTAACTCCTGAAATTAATAAGGTATACTTTTTTCAAGAATTGAAGTGTTTCATTGGCATTTGCATAAAAGTGATCCCAGAACTTACTGTTAGCAGAAGCGAGGACAGGAGGACATAGGTTTAAAGTGATACATAAATGAAGCAAGCGTAATGTCAGAAAAAACTTTCACATAGCAAGTAAGGTATGCAGTGTACTGCCTGGAAATGTGGTGGAGACCGGTTCAGTTGAGGCATTCTAGATGGTATTGGACGGTTTTTTTTTTTAATTGGTTTTTTTTTTGAATAGTAATGGTGTGCAGTGATAGGGAGGAAATGGCAGGAGATTGGCACTAGATAATAGAGCCGGACTAGATAATACAGCCATTGAAGATGCAATGGACTGAATGGCCTTCAACTGCATTATCATAATTCTGTGAACTGCTTTTACATGAAAGAATGCACATTGTGGCAGCATATTCATATATGGTACACAGAAGCTACGTTGTGAGATAATTGCTAAAGTGTTTACTAATTTAAGATTTGCAACCCAGAAAGGGAAAAATGAAGAGGGGCCATGTTGCAGGTTCAGTTGAGAGAGAAGTCGAAGGGTGATTTAGGTTTTGCAGTTTCTAGACAATCAGAGCTTCAAAGAAGTCTGTTTATGCTATTTTAGAAGTCGAAGGTGATGTGCTGGGAAAAGCCCTGAGTTTTTTTTCTTAGAGTTCAGTGAATTAGCTTGTGACTTTGTGTGTTGGAGGGGAATAGCAACAGAGAGAATTAAAAGCTTGCAACCTCAGCAATTGATAAGAAATCCAGAGTTAATATACGAGTGATACTTCACTGGACTGGGGTTGAGTATCTGTAAAGGATATTGCTGAGAAAAAAAAAGAGTCATAGAGATATACAGCACAGAAGCAGACCCTTCAGTCCAACTTGTCCATGCCGACCATCCTATATAAGTTTTAGTTCCATTTTGCCAGCATTTGGCCCATATCCCTCTAAATCCGTTTTATTCACTTACCCATCCAGATGCTTTTTAAATGTTGTAATCATGCCAGCCTCCTCCACTTCTTCTAGCAGCTCATTACATACACAAACCACCCTTTGCATGGAAAATGTTCCCCTTAGGTCCCTTTTAAATCTTTCCCCTCTCACCTTAAACCTATGCCCTTTAATTTTGGCCTCCCACATCCCAGGGAAAGGACCTTAGCTATTCACCCTATCTCTGCCCCTCATGATTTTACAAACCTCTATAAGGTCACCCCTTAGCATCCAGCACTCCAGAGAAAATAGCCCCAGCCTTTTCAACCTCTGCCTATAGCTCAAACCCTCCAATCCTGGTAACATCCTTGTAAATCATTTCCTGAACCCTTTCAAGTTTCACAACATCTTTCGTATAGCAGGGAGACCAGAATTGCATGCAATATTCCAAAAGAGGCCGAACAAATGTACAGCCACAACATGACGTCCCAGCTCCTATACTCAATGCACTGACCAATAAAGGCAAGCATTCACTATCCTGTCTGCCTGTGACTTCATTTTCAAGGAACTATGAACCAGCACTCCAAGGTTTCTTTGTTCAGCAACACTCTCCAGGACTTTATCATTAAAGTATAAATCCTGCCCTGATGTGCTTTTCCAAAATGCAGCACTTCACATTTATCTAAATTAAATTCCATCTGCCACTCAGCCCGTTGACCCATCTGATCAAGATCCCGTTGTACTCTGAGGTAACCCCCTTAGCTCTTCATTACACCTCCAATTTTGCTGTCATCTGCAAACTTACTAACCATACCTCGTACGTTCACATGCAAATCATTTATATAAATCACGAAAAGCAGTGGCCCTGGCACCAATCCTTGTGGCACACTGCTGGTCACAGCCCTCTGGTCTGAAAAGCGACCCTCCACCACCATCCTTTGTCCCTCTACCTTCGAGCCAGTTCTGTATCCAAATGGCAATTTCTCCCTGTATTCCATGTGATCTAATCTTGCTAACAAGTCTACCCTGAGGAACCTTGTCGAACGCCTTACTGAAGTCCATATAGATCATTCCACCGCTCTGCCCTCGTCAATTTGCTTTGTTACTTCAAAACACTCGATCAAGTTAGTGAGACACAATTTCCCACACACAAAGCCATGTTAACTATCCCTAATCAGTCATTGCCTTTCCAAATACATGTAAATCCTGTCCCTCAGGATTCCCTCCAACAACTTGCCCACCACTGAAGACAGGCTCACTGGTCTATAGTTCCCTGGCTTTTACTTACCATCTGTCTTAAATTGTGGCATGGCAATAGCCAACATCCAGTCTTCCGGGACCTCACCTGTGGCTTGTAGTGATCTCAGCAAGGGGCCCAGCAATCTCTTTCCTCGCTTCCCAGAGTTCCACAGTACATCTGATCAGGCCCGAGGATTTATCCACTTTTATGCATTTTAAAACGTCCATCACCACCTCCTCTGTAATATGGACGCTTTTCAAGAGGTCACTATTTATTTCCCCCTGTTCTCTGTGTTCCATATCCTTCTCCACAGTAAACACTGATGCAAAATACTGGTCTAGTATCTTCCCCATCTCCTGTGGTTCCACATATAGGCAGCCTTGCTGATCTTTAAGGGGCCCGCTTCTCACTCTAGTGAACAACGCGTAGAGCTGGATGAACACAGCAGGCCAAGCAGCATCATAGGAGCAGGAAGGCTGATGTTTCA